TTGGAGAAGGAGGAGGAGGAGGATTATTTATTATGTTTTTCAGGGCTTAATACTTTGGGTCATTCAATAAAAATTCTGGCTGAGAATTCAGGACAAAGAAAAAGGAGTACTTCATATAATTTATGGAATACATTGCTACATGTAATGGTTGAGGTCAGGTATTAGATTAATTTGAACATGGCGCCGGCAGGAGAACAGAAGTTGTATTTTGTCTGAACTGTTTATTGTTTGATCCACAAATGCTTTATACATTTCAAGGAACTGAAGTGGAAATTGCTACTGCAACAAAATTTGCCTTATGCTAAACTTTGGTACCAGTTTATTTAACATTCTTGTCTAAACTGATTATTTATAGGGTTTTTTTAGTTAGTGCATTGTAAGCATTCCCTTCAAAGCATATATAATGAGAAGTATGATAAAGATATGTATGCATGTTACAATTTAAGAATAACATAAAAAGTGTCTTCTATAACATTTGGCTTTATGAGCATAATTATTCATAATGCTCCAAGCAGGCCACCCCAAAAAAGAAAAAAAGACTATGACTCTGCAGGGTGTAATAGGAAGTGTAAGTACTTGCTCCCGTGGTAAAATATAAAAGATTAGATAGAATTATAAAATAGAATGTTTAAATTACTCCTTTTTAAAAAAATTTGATTTATATGCCGCCCTTCTCCGGAGACTCAGGGCGGCTTACAATGTGCTCAGCAATAGCCTTCATCCTTTTGTATATTTATACAAAGTCAGCTTATTGCCCCCACAACTGGGTCCTCAATTTACCTACCTTAGAAAGGATGGAAGGCTGAGTCAACCTTGAGCCTTGGCGAGATTCGAACCTACAGTAATTGCAGGCAGCTGGTCTTAATAACCAGCTTAATAACAGGGTGCCTTAGACCACTGTACTACCAAGGCTCTTTTTGTAATTCTCAGTTTTCCTAGAGCCATGCTTGATATATGTTAATGCTTCAATTCCCTGAAATTCTCTTATAGGGCAGTTTTTTGCCTAATAAGGCAACAAGGCAGAGAAAGACAGAGGAAAAAGTACCTAGTGCATCTATTTAATTCTAGACTTACACTAGATTTTAATACTATGTGTTTTTTAGATTTTGGCTCAACTGAATTCACAGGGATGAAAGCAATAATTCAACAGGCCACAACAATTCCAACTAAGAATTACATGACGTGGCTCTATTAAGCATTTCCATCACCATTTTTGATATAAATGTGCTCCAGAAATATTAACTTCTAATATGTCCAGAGAGATAGTTTAGTCCAGAGAATAAATGAAAGCTGTTGTGGGATCCAGAAACATCCAGCTGTTAACTATTCAATTATCAACTATTATCAGATAGTTATGTCTGATCAAAATTGATAGAGAAACTCTACTATGAGAACCTGGAGGCAAGCAAGGGCCACTGATTCATAAGAGTGGACAAAGCATCAAATCCAATCTTGTGCTCAGTGCAAAAATGGAAATTAAAGACTCTCTGACAGATACTTTTTCACCTTTGCTTGAACACAGCCAAGGAAGGAGATTTCACTACTTCTCTAGGTAATTGGTTCCACTATCAAATAGTTAGAAAGTTAGGAACAGTTACAGTTGGGAAGGTTTTTCTAATGTTCAGATAGAATCCGTTTTTCTGTCATTTAAACCACTTATTCCCCGTGCTGTACTCTGGAATGATAGTAAATGGGTTGTGACCTTCTTCTATGTGCTAATTTCTCTATACACATCTAGAAATGCAATGTGAAAAACTAAAAATAGTAATATTTAATAAAGTATATTAAATCATGAATACATGAAATCATGCATTGCAAAGCGTATATTTTCTCCTGCCATTATATTAATAGAACTCGGGGTCATTCAACAAGGCTGAACAGAGGGAGGTTCAGGACAGATTGTGCTTTGCACAGGATGTAGTTAATCTGTGGGATTATCTATCTACAATTTGGTGATGTCCCCAATTTAAACAGTTTTAAGTGGAGATTAGAATTGTTTTTGTAAAACTGATAATGGCTATTAGTTATTATGGCTAAACTGTATGTCTAGAATGCCATAGTTACCACAGCCAACTATTTTTCTTCCATTCCCCTTTGTCAGGTTCCCCAAACAAGAAAAACACACAGTAATTCTTCCATGTAGATTTCTTTAATGTTCCACACCTCTAGACAGAATCTTGGCAAACTAACCACACTGTTATCTACACCAGGGGTCCTCAAACTACAACCTGCCAAAGCCATTAATTCAGACCATGAGACTGCCCCGCCCACATCACCCCGCCAACCCGCCATCTCCCACCCTTTGGCTAAGCACAGGATTTACCTTCGTGAGCCCCGCAGGCTGGAACTGGAAGGTGAGGCTAACATTTTTGGCCGGCAGAGTGCTAAATTGGCCATACCCACCTAATCACACGCCCACCTAGACACGCCCACCCATCCACATGCCCACCTAGACACGCTCAGCCAGCCAGTCTGGGCCCCCAACAGTCTGAGGGACCGTGAATTGGCCTTGTTTAAAAAGTTTGAGGACCCCTGATCTACACCATCTATACTCAAAGAGCTACTGGGGCTGTCTTGACCCCCTCTCATACAAACCATCTGAACTGAGCTGTCTCTTAATCCTCAGGAATACACTCCATCCCTCCTGAAAATCCAAGCCATAGAATCCACCACACCTTGCAAGTTCTGAAAATATCTGAAAGACTAGAGTCACCAGGCAGCCTACCAAAGAGTTCCACATGGTCTTGCTGCCTTTCTCAGAGTTATGAATCAGCAGCCTGAGGCGAACTCTGGAGTTTTGACTCAGATGGAGATAGAAAAGTGGTGATTCTTGCATTGCTACCTGTAGTGAGAAGCCTAACAGACCCCAAGAAAACAAAGGAAGAAATGACACTGTTGCCAAAGAGATGGCCCAGCCCAAAGGAGGGAGGGAAATATGAGAAAAAGAGCAATTTTGTCTTAATTATGCTAATTATAAATTGAGTGGAAGAAGTGTTTTCAAGATTCTGTTATACTGCCCTACTAGCAGTAAAAACCCTTTTAAAAATGCAAGTGGATCTTGTTTCTTGTGTGCCTCACAGGGCTTGATTTTAGTCTTGAAAACCTGTCAAAGCAATTCTCCCATTCAGCTCATACCTGGCATAATTAAGAAAGAATTTCACTGAGACTCTCTCTGTACTCAAGGTGAGAAAAGTTCTGATAAAACTGTCTCTGAGATTTACAGTGTGAGGCAGATTTAGGGAATAAAAAGGAAAAGGAGCCATAAATAAGCAAAGGTCGACTGTGTGATTATTTTACAGCTTAGTTACAGTTGGAAAATACTATTAAGAAATGTTCCAAAAGCTCTCTTAAAAATGACTTTTGATGAAAATTTGAATAGCTTAATTTTTTTTAAACTGCACTGTCATCAGAAATATGCTTCAAACAAGACTTGCAAGTCATGCTTATTTTTGACATCAGTTGACATAATGTTTTTTGACCAGGAGAGGGAGTTAATAGAGACACAATCTAAATAAAATATTCCCTTGAATTTTAACCTTGGAATTCAAAGGCTTGTGCAAATGACAGATACCTGGAAAGAAATCCTTTGCAAACACGAAGAAATTATTCAAAGACATAGAATAGAAAAAAGTTCATTTTGACTCATCTGACTCAAAACCTGAAGTGGACCAAAGTTATAGAATCAATCACTTTTTAAATACGTAACTGAAAAATAGAAAATTAGAGATTATTGATCAAAATTACACTTATTTCCATACAGTGAGTTAATTTCATACACATACAAAACAGTTGATAGAAAAATTCTAGTTCAAAAAAATCTTCCTGACATGAAATAAATGTCTAGGAAATATCTCCCTTAGGAGAAATGAGCAATGGTTGACCATTTTACTACTTGTGAGGAATCAACGGACAATTTTAAGGATATGTTCCCTTCTGCTCATTTAGTTCTCCTAGTTTTCCCTACAATATTCCATTCTCCAATTTCCTTCAATGGAATTTCAACATTTAACATACAGATAACTTTAACTAAATGCTAGGTAATAGTTAGAAAAATGGGATCATATTCTAGGGTGAAGTATGGTCTTGCATTCAAAATTTCCCTGGATCAAGCCCAGTATACATGATAATCCTTCAGGTTTGAAGAAGACACACTGTTGTGCAGTTTATCTGTGGACATGGATGTCTGCTGTGCTAGTCTGGAAGCACTGATTCTAACACAATAGGAGAACTGGAAGGATCTATGACAATTCACCGTGGCCAATTTGCCACAGCCAACTTGCCACAGGACAATTTGCTGCGGGGGCAGGAGTTACACTAATATCAAAGAAATGGTGGAATAAATAATTAAAGAAAGGATGCAAAAGAAGGGACAAAAATAAAACATGAATGACAAAAATCAAAATATTTTTTTATTTTTTTTAAATAATTAAATTGAATTGTTAAATTGTCCTATGGCAAGTTGTCCCGCAGCAAGTTGACTGCAGCGAGTTGTCCCATGGCATATTGGCCATGGTGAATTGGCTGCCATGAATTGACTGAGGCAAGTTGGCCATGGCGAGTTGTCCCATTCCGAACTGGAAGTCCATTGTTGAAGTAATGGAGGGTGTTATTCTTGACCTGATGATGGCTATCAGTTTTTGGCAGCACCTATTTCAAAGCTGGTGGACGCTTCATAATCACAGGGTGCAAAAAGGGATCAGGTCACAAGGGACAGGAAAGGTCTCAGCTGGAGACCCTGCAGAACTGGTGAGAGCAAACATAGAAGCAAATAGTCTGACCTTGTGCAAAGCAGCCTCCTAAACCTTGTATAAGTGATACTCTGTTGTATTATACTCATGAGGACAGAAGGAAAATAAATAATAACTGTGACTGCACGCTGTTCTGTTTGGCAAAACAGTAAGATCAAGCTGAGCCTGGGGCTGTCCCCGTATACCTTTCGTTTGTACAATGAACAAATAAACAGGAGAGATACTTGGCAATGTACACGATAGAACAAAGGATTAATGTTTTGAAGGATTTTATTGAAATTGGCATTATTGAGTAAATAACAAGTTCCACATTCCAGCAGTTATGAATCAGATATTTTATTCTGGAACTGAATGAGGCAGGATCCAATGAATGCACCAATTAACTTTTAACACATTTTGTTTCATATTTTTGAAAACTAGAAAGGTAACTGGTAGTTAATCTGTTAATTAATGCGCCCATGGTTTGTCAAATAAAATGCTGACATTACAATCAGATATAACTATGCCTAATATTTATATCCAAAGAAATAGTGATTAAAATTTGGTTGTGACTTGTACAATTTTAGTATTTGATACATCACTACTTCTGATCCTATGGAAGATTTCACCAAGAACCTACTGTACATTTTTAAAAAATGTAACAAGTGCCCTGTCACATACATCAAAATAATTAAACGTAGATTTCTATGTATAAAGTTTTATTTACATTAGTTGGTTGAAAATAATTAATTAAATGGACGTATCCTTATTAATACAGAAAAAAGGCCACTATTCCCTATAATAAAATAATTCTTACATTTCCATACCACTTTTATAAAAGTTGAAATTTTGCTAATAATTTATGATATCCCTTCCTTGACATAATACATTAGTGTAAGCCCTGTTATGCAGAGGTTTTTGAGATAATAAGCTCAATAACCATGTTACATTTTATATCATATTTACTATGTTTTTATATTTATTTATTTATTTCTCCATAGGGAAAGTGAAAAGAATGGAATTATTTGGGGAGGAGGGATATTACTTGGATTCTGTGTAAGAAATGAGTGAATATTTCCTCTACATTATGTATTCATACATAATGAATATTTGACTTGGAAATGAATTCTTGAAACAATAAGCTGCTATTTAACATTGCCTTCATTCTCTACATTTCAAACAAGGCTCACATTTCTGTGATTATGACAAAAAGAGCATACAAAAAAATGACCTAAACTCACAATCTAAAGGTCAGTTATGAAAATAGATCTTCAACCCTAGGCTTTCCTTCCCAAAACAAATATCTATTCAATAATCCTGACTATAGTTCCTTGTCCATATGATTTCCATTTTATTTTCGTATCTTTCAGGAGAGATGAGAATATATTAATACGGCTATCATGTAGTACAACAGCTCAAGGAACCCAAAGAATACCCTTACCCAACTTGATACCTTCAACATGGTTTGAACTTCAGCTAATATCTGACTACTGGCCAACTGTAGTTATAGTCTAAAACATAGACTACAAAGTAAAGTAAAACTTGGAGAAGATGACCATAAAGTACTGCTAAAAGCTCACTATTCATTGCAGATTTTAAAGTTGTGTTTCATAATTTAATTGCCCTTTTTTTAAAAAAAAAAATGGCCCTATAAAAATTAATTTGGGTCATTTAGATTTTACTGGAGGACTTTCAAAGGCCTATCAATTCCCCTGCACTATATTTGGAAATGCAAGTTTCTGGCTTCTTTTAGTTCTAGCTGCCATTTTGTATTTCCTATTTTTACAAAGATGACCCTGCAAAATACAATGAATCTATAGCACCATGTACAGTATACATGAAGAAACACCAAAAACACTACAGGAAAAATAAATAAGAAGTGAATGCTACCAATGGGAAAGGCAAGACGAAATCAAGGCCAGCTTCACTAATACACATTCTTCTGCTACTTAGAACAGTGCATCCACTTCAAGAAAGCAATGACCCAGTTTCCCAGCTGGGACACTTTCAGCCATAGAAATAGTTCATACAGGTTGATCTGCCACAAGCTCAAGGCCTCAGAAAGGGATATCTGGGCCTTTCTGAACAGCGAGTTACTCTTGCTCCTTTGATACCTGAACAAAACACAAAAAGAAATGCATTAACTGCCTTATAAAGTAACAATAACATGCCCAGAGAGGAACAATTTCTAAAATACAAACTATTTCATAATTTCAGCTGAGTACAATATATGTAGTGTGTACTAATTTACACAGTGGCTCTTCTCATATGGCATGGATCTCCAATCTTAGCAACTTTACAAATTGTGGACTTCAACTCCCAGAATTCCTCAGACAGCAGAGCTGCTAAATTGGAGAACCCTCTCATATGGGACTCAAAGTGTGTCTCTTCTTCTACTGTTGCATTAAGTTCTCCAATTACTCCATGCTTTACAGGAAGAATGAGTGAAACAAAGACATCAATAACAATACAAAGGAGAAGAAGTAAATAAACTATTTAATCTTGTCTAGAAAAATCTGTGAGAAAAAGCATAGACTCTTCAGAATTACTTTGAAGGTGGGGATGGAGAGAAAAGGTAAGAGTGAAAAGGAGAGGAGACAAGACTGATGAAGATGACAGGTAAAACAGAAATATCTCCACAGAAAGAACCAAACACCCTCAAGCCCCATTTTGTATTCTCCGCAAGTGATGAATGGTATACTATGTCTACAACTCCGTAAGCAATTTTCTCCACTTTAATTGAATTTCCTTACGCTGTTTCAAGACAACAGCAGATAATAAATATCACAAATGGGCAAATACTTTGAAAGAGGCATTTCACAACAATATGAAAGATATACAAATTAACTGTTGAAATCGGTGAAGCAGCTGTGCTTTTTTCCAAACTCACACCACTATTTTGTAAGCTGGTCCCAGCTGTTTCCATATGCATGGCATGTCCATTTTGTTTCAATTGGGAAAAATGGAAGTGAAATAGCTACATGTTTGTTTAGATAACTGGGAGTAGCTACTTTAATGATTTGGAGAATGCCCACTCATATAGCAAAATATCTCTGTGAACGTATTTGTATAAAACGAATAAATATTTTTATGACTACTATTGTCTACTGCATCGAAAAAGCATCAAGCTGACTTTTGTAACTTCTGCATTTCAAAGTCATTGCAAACAGGAATCACAAAGTCAATTAATAGTTCAGATTTCTACTTATGGGGGACTGATGGGTAAACTGTTAGAACCACAGAAGATTGTTTTTGTACATGATAATTTTGATTATTACATGCACAAAGATGAAAAGATTTGGTAATGGAAGAATGGTTGATGAAGCTAATGGAACTTGCTAAAATGGCTAACTTAACTTGTTTGATTAGAGAAAAAGACGATATCTACATTTATCAATGACAGGAAATCCCTTATGGATTTTTTTCTGTAAAAAGGGGAAAAAAGAATCCTGCTTATGGGAATGGGGACTTACGCAGCAACAGCTCGTATGCAGCAGCGAGACATGTTGAGGAAGGAGCTGGCATTAGCCCGTGTCTGCAGGGCGGATTCAATCCCCCTTAGCAAATCATTGGTCTTCAGCAGCAACAGCATCTGACGAGGAACATTGCTGAGAAGCTTGGTGATCTGAGGTAAGTAAGTAGCAGCATTGGTCCGGATTTCTACATCCTGGAATAATCAGATTAGAAATGTAGGAGAGTCCAGGAAGGGAGAGATTCTAAGCACTGTCACATTCTAAGCACTGTCTATTATGATCAACAGGAGATTTCCAAGGTAGTAGGCAGGGATATTTCCTAGAGAAGCTAAGGTCTTTTCAAACGGAAATGCAAAATCTGAAAACTTTCTGATTACACAAAGCACATGTTTTGATTTTTAAAAAGAACCTTAGAGTTTCCCATATGATAGTTCTGATGGCATTTGTTTATTTATTTGATTTTAGTGAGCAGCTTATACAGGAGTTCTCCCTTAATTTTATCTGTACAAGGCAATCTCCTGAGGGAAGCTTTGCTCAAAGAGAGCAACTAGTCCAATGTCATGCAATGAGCTTTGGGCTGAGTTGAGATTTAGACTTCAATTTCCTTGGTCCAAGCCTGACACCTTAAATACCTACATTATTTTAGTCAGCCGTCAATACCCTAATCAACAACTAAAAAGCCACACACAACCAGACACCATATAAATACCACACACAGAATAGCCCGAAGCCCACATTCTGTTAGAGAGAAGTTCCCTGAGGATGGGCTCCAACATGAATCTGAAAGATCGGAAGACTAAACTTCTGGTCCCAGTGACCGACTCAGACTGGATCCTGTAACATTATCCTGGGACACATATATTCGCTTTCATTCATTAAAATATTATATTAAAACATTAAAAATATTTTTAAAGTATTTATGCGCTATATTAAAATATTACATTAAATATATAGCACAAGACTATATTAAATATTAAATTATTACACTATATACAGTATTATACTTTATTAAAAATATAGCACAAGAGCTGGTTTACACTGGTAACTCAGTGAAAGGCAGCATGCATTTTATGCAGAAAACACCAAGTTCAATTTTGGGAATGGCTGATCCCCAGTCTGAAACGACTACTGGCCTATTAGAAGAGAGCAGTTTCAGTGTAATGTAATCTGCCAGGTTTATTCTATCTGAGATAGCTGTGAATCTTCAGCATGGCATTTTTGTGTGTCACCTTTTTTTAATCCGTTATCCCAAGAAAATGTACCTCGTTACTTGTGACGGGCAAACGATCAATGCCTTTGTTGACTGATTCCCAGGAACGTGCAGTAAGCATGCAAGCAAATAGGGGGTACAGATCCCCTGCCCCCAGGTGCTGGCTATATTTTTTTATCTGCTTGATGTCTGCCTTGATCAGGGCTTGCCAAAGTCGGCAGTAATCCAAGCGGAAGCTGTCTGTCAGGACCTTAAGAAAAACAATGGCCCAAAGTATTGTTAAACAGTATGTGGACTCAAGTACAGATAGTTCTTGAAAGAATTAAATGGTCTGGGACACTTGTTTCATACCAACACAGAGAGTTGACTTAAATTCTGGAACATTGGGTGAGCATGTGTGGCATCTCTTATTTATTTAAAAATGTATTAATTTAAAACATTTATATATATGCCAACCTTATATCAAACTCTGGGTAGCTCCCAATCAACAAACCTCTCAGTCAAGAACATCTCTTATATCCTAGATTTGGCTTCAAACTCCAGGTGAAATATTAACACTGCTTTCTTTCCTGTGCAGTCTAGAGAGTGTTACCTTAGAACCTTAGTCCAGCCCCTCTCTCCAATAGGCTGGTCAGTTACTTTTTGGCTCAGCTGTTCTTGGCATTACTACAATACCTATCTCCTGCAGGTAGAAATGGCACCTCATGGAAATAGCTTGCTGTTTGCTGCCATAATAAAAAAGATTCCTCCCCACAAGTGGTCAAATGTTGCTGCTTACTGACAAAACCGGCCTTCATTATCTCTCCATCTGTTTGACAAGCCAGCTACATACCTGATAGAGTCCATGGTCCAGAAGTATAATGTGTGACTTGCCTGTAGTTGGACACTTCCTCACCAAGACATTGCCAGGATGTGGGTCACAATGCACAAAGCCATTCACAAAGATCATTTCACTGTATATCTTTCCCAGGTTGCGAGAGATCTGAGGAGAGAGAAGGAGATGCAAGGCCCCAACAAGCAACAATACCAGGGAGCATAGGACTATAACCTAGTTCACAGCAGTACCACCTATTGGAATGGCGGAGAAGTAGCTGGCTAATTCCTTTTTTATACAAGAGAAAATGACATCATCCAACCAACATATGTGTGTACGTAGAGAAAGCATAACAGCATTCTTCCCACATCTGGGTAGAACTAGAACTATGCCAGCAGAAGTGTAAACATGTTCATCAAAACTAATCACAAAGAACACTCTTGGTGCCCAGAATATAGACAAGCAATATGTGTGGGGATGAGTGGGTTTCCCAAATAGTCATATGAATCTCTTTATTTAGTAAGGAGAGAATGCGTGTTTGTGTGGGCACTTGAATGGGGGAATTATCAGAGAAGATGAAAAATATAATTGTAAAAAATACCTCATTAAGGAAAGTAGTATGTTGTTCTTGTTCAGATATACTGTTGCATGATCATCTACATACAGTTGTGAATCTGAGTGAGAGCCTATGGGTAAAGTGTTATCTGAAATGAACTGTAAATCTGTGCCTGCCAGAGACTGGAAAATAACATTTTCCATTAAAATATGACTCAAATGTACTTGACTACATTTACTTCTTCTGAGTTCGCCTTCAAGCATGAACAGAATCCAATTGGTTTAAAAAAAAGGATGCATGTCAAAATATTACAGTGTACTAATGAAAGGATGAATGCTCATTTAATTAGGAAATGGCAGATCTAACGTTTAATTTTCTGGACCAATTGGCCAATCAGCAGGAAGTAAAGAAACCTGAATTTTACATATACTGAAATGAAAGAAAAAGCTGTGAAGTAAGTATAAAGCAATGGAAAAATAAATTGAGTACCTGATTTTTAAAATCTTTTCTACTTCTTCTCCACTACAAACATAATTTGCTTATATATGCAGTTTAATTAGCAGAGCTTCTACCAAGGAATCTACATATGATCAGGGTGTATTGAGAATTATCTCTGAGCAATCCATCCCATCTGCTGTCTCACCCCAGGTTTTGTAAGGAAAAAGAGTGTAACATATGAATTTGTACAAATGTTAACACAGGCATTCTTAAACTACGGCCCGCCGGCCCGCCAATGCAAAGTATCCGGCCCGCAGAGTAGTGGGATTGAGCCCCACCCCTCACCCCGCCCCTCACCATTGGCCTTATCTTCCAGTGAGCATCCACTCCAGCTCCAGCACTTCTGGTTAGTTATTTCACCGGTTAAGCTGCACTTCTGATCACACCGCTGTGAGGCTGAAGGTTCGGGGGAAGGCCAGGGGTGATCTCACCAGTGCAGCCATGTAATCCAGGGCCGGGAGGGTGAGTAGGGCAGGGGTTGCTGCTGGCTTGAAAAGCAGCTGCCAGCTTGTAAAATAGTGCTTTAAAAGTCTTTAAAAACGCTTTTAAAATGTTTTAAAACAGCCTTTCAGGATGAAAGCTGATCCAGCTTTCAGCCATATGATCCAGGGCTGGTGGGTGAGTAGGGAAGGGGCTGCTTTTAAAGTAGCGCTTTAAAAGTGGGTGGATGGGGGACATGTCTCCATGTCTCCTAGCTTTTTCAAAATCAGCTGAACTTGGTTAACAGTAATTCAAATGCAACCGCAGTATAATGCCTGAAGGAGAATTCACCCACTGCTTTGATTCTTGCCATGTATAAAGTACATCCACCAAATTGGTTGCTGAACAATTTTGGTAGATATTTATGTGCGTGTATACACATGCACAAGTGTGGCAAAAAGCAAATCAGTTTGTGAATTCCGATCCAGGTTTAAAAGACCTTTAGCCCTGTAATCCCAAATAATTCAAAAAAGTAGTCTGGTCTCCTATCCCTTCCCTGGTTGCCTCCCCTGCTGGAAGGCACTCACAGGTCATCTGAAACATATGATCAGGAGTTATTTTGAAGGAAATCCTGTTTGTTTTATTCTTTTTTTAATGGCCTATTTTAAGGAACCTGAAGCTGCTGTTGTAATGAAGTTAGGCAAGTGGCAAGAAAGTTTGCACTCTTTTTCCCTTTGTGGGGGGGGGTGCGTGGTCTTAAGTAAATAGATTCCTTGAGTTGAGAAAGTACAGCAGGACAAAGGCAAAATGGACTGCTAAATTGGCCACACCCACCCAGTCACATGACCATCTTGCCACACCCACCCAGTTGGTCCAGCCCCCCAACAGTCTGAGGGATCGTGAATCGGCCCCCTGTTCAAAAAGTTTGAGGACCCCTGTGCTAACACATTGACTTCAGAGTATTATTTATTTTATTCTGTATCATTTCAAAATTTACCATATCTTTCCATTGGGCACACGAGGTTGGAAATCACTCATTTTCTACCATAGTTATGGTTTATGTACCATCCACGCAATTAATTAATGACTTTTGTTAAATTTACCATAACTCAACCATTCGAGAGCAATGATCAAAATGGCCAAAATGGGATATCAGGACTTCTACACACTTGACTTCAACCTTTCTTCAAACATTGCAATTGTTTTGAGCGCATATATAATTGTTTACCACACCTGCTATATGATTGTGAAATTTCTTAGGTGTTTGTACCTGTTTGCCTCATATCAACATTCCTAACTTTATAACAATGAAAGATATCTTATCATAATATAAAATTATCACTATTTCAGTATTTACATGAAACAATGAACAAGCTAGTTAAATGCATTGAGCCGTGGTGGCGCAGTTGTCAGAATGCAGCATTTCAGGCTAATTCTGCAAACTGCCAGCGATTCGATTCTCACCGGCTCAATGTTGACTCAGCCTTCCATCCTTCTAAGGTCGGTAAAATGAGGACCCAGATTGTTGGGGGCAATATGCTGACTTTGTAAACCGTTTTGAGAAGGCTGTAAAGCACTATGAAGTGGTATATAAGTCCAAGTGATATTGCTATTGCTATAATGTGTGATATGAACCCAGACCATAGTCTTCTTTTGTGGCTCATTGTATAAACCCATAAAAGTAGATTAATAACTGAAATATTGAATGTTGTGTGAATAAAGCCAATGAAATAAGCTATTCTTTTAGTGAATATTTAAAATCAACTAAGATAACTAATGTATAAAAATTGTTTCTAAAGAATAATTGTTTAAAAATTGTATATTAAGTAGTTTGGGATTGCTTTGCACAGGGGCCAAATAGATGACAATACTAATTCATAGGTATCTCCTTGTAAAGGAAAAGATTAAAAATAGGTAATAGGTCAATTTTAAAATATATTAATAATATTTCAAAACTCTACAGCAGGGGTGTCAAACTCAAGGCCCAGGGCCAGATCTGACCTGTGAGTACGTAGATCTGGCCCATGGGAAACAGCCGAAGGACCATCCCGTGGTGCTTCTGCCAGTGAAAACGGGCTCCCAAGCTCAGTTTTCGGCTGCACGGCCTTTTGCAACCTCTGCCAGTGAAAACAGGGCTCAGGAGGGCCGCACATGGCCACACACGACCCTCCCAAGCTCCCTTTTCAGAGGGAGAGGGTTGCAGGAGGCCATTTTCAGAGGGTTGCAAGAGGCCATGGCAGTCAAACATGGAACTTGGGAGCCTGTTTTTGCTGGCAGAGAGCTCAAGCCGCCACAGGCACACCTGATAGGAGTGATGTCGAGCTCACCACGCCCACCCTGGCCGCCACCCCCCCCACCTCCCCAAGGTCAGACACAACCCTGATGCAGCCCTCAATGAAATCGAGTTTGACACCCCTGCTCTACAGTGTCCAGATTATTAAGGATTTGCATAGAGTGCTAAATCTTTCTGCCCAAATTATCAACACTAAAATTGTCCTCATTAAGGAAAATAAAAACACACGAAAGCATGCAGTGCTTTCAGGATGATACCATAGGGATGTACTACAAAATTACTACAACAGCAGTGCACTGCTGTTGTCTGAAGCAGTGCACAAATCTTTTAGGCCACAGCTTCTGAAGAGTACAGGAACAATCTTTGCAGGGGAAGGATTGTGTTCAGCTTCTTTTAGCCACCACCCATTTAAAGGGAACCCATCAATGACTTTTAGCATGACTTTTTATATAAGATTTACAAGCTACTACTCCATTCTTTGGCCGAAACCACAGAAACTCGTATTTTGTATGGGGTTTGAGTTTTTTCCTAAAGGAAATCATGTGAAATATAGAGATATGTTCAGTTTTGACCTGGGGGTATTTCATGTTACTATCTCTGGAATCAAATTGATGTTGTAATGATTTAATCTCCCTGCTGACCATAGAGCAAGTGGTACAAGATGGGATCCAACATGTCTGTTTATTCCTGTCTCTTCCAATTTAGAAAACATGCTAATCATTGGCTCTAATTCACCCATAATATTTGCCAATTATTTTAAGGGATGGCGACACTAACTTCTATTGATCTCATTAAAAGTAAAGGTCATGATGTAGCTCATTTCTTAGGGCTTGATATTACCTCCTCAGGCCAAAAGAACAGTGTGGATTTTAAAACCTTAATCGAAGGTTAATTGGATTAGTAAACATGTTGATTTTTTTTAAAAAAAAAAAATCCACCAGTGCAGGCCCCCCAGTCACACTGGTGTGAAATTAGCAAAGGCAGTGAAGGATGTAGCTGACTGAACATGTCAACTTGCTCCCCATCACAACTGGGCTACACCCGGTATTAATATTATAGAATTTTATAGAAAAGTTACTCAGAAAAAACTGAGGGCTTACTCTTTAGGAAAGTTACAGTCCAATAGGGTTTCAGGGGAGGGGGTTGGTACAACATTACATAGTTTTGTTGTGCATTTGCAAAAAATTTTGCCTGAGATCTTAGGATACTTTACAGCTAATAATTGCTCACAAATTTGATGGACACTGACAGAGGGGAAAAAAACCCATTTCTAAATTCAAAGCAGCAGAATGTTTGGTGTGGTCAACACTTTCAATCAAATGAACTGGAAATATTCTGAACTAGCTAAGTGAAATGTAATATTTCAGACTGCAGGGGATAATAGCATTTATATATGCTACT